CATACATACAAATAAGTGGGAACTAATAGACACCATGAAGATAATTAATCAATTCTCATTAGGCTTAACAAATTCACGTAATTATTTCGTGCGTATATTTCATTCTAGACATACTGCGAAATTTTATCGATCATCAATGTAAAATACTACACTTTGTCCAATGTTTCGATATGACATACTTAACAATAACAGTCAGCATAGCCAATTAAAAACACCGACTATAATGAGAGTTCCGTTTAAATGGAATTAGAAATATTTTCTAACGGAAAGTAACTAGCTAGTTCGTTACGGGAGAACGCGCGCAAATTGAACGTGGGACGATCATTGACTGAAAATCAGATTCGATTTCGATTTTAATACTAGGAAAAATAGGAACATGTATATGAAAAACATATTTTCTTTTTTTTTCTTAAATACACTTTATAATAACTATTAAAATTTCCAGAAATATAAAATTGTAAAAAATTTCTATATTTAGGGAACTACTAATTGGTTGGTAGTAATCACTCTGGTAATTTTTGCGTAAGTACGCGTTTGACTCATTTCTTGACAATGACACATTCTGCATTACTTATCTGGAGTTCGCTTTTGTTCGAAGCAGCAACGTTTTACGTTGCTCAAAGGCTAATACAATAAAACTTACTCGTGAATAACACACGAAAACAAAAATGGTTTCCATCGGCGTCATTGTGTAGATTATAGATCGCTGATTTACACGAAGATTTAGTTCCTAGCTTGATCGTGCAAGAACAAACGTTGAACAAATTCGACATTTGCATGACGTACGCGTAGAAATATTTTTTTTATGCAAAACTCTGCGGTTTCGTGTATCAAGAATTATGTTCAATTATAATTACAGTGATATCGAATAGAACACGTCATTCTAAATTAAGTGTAATGTAAACTCAACAAATTAAAAAAATTTAAAAAATTAGACTAAATTAGACTCAACAATTAAAAAAAAATAGACTAAATTGATTTCTAAAAAGTTTCTCTTCAGGGCGTGAACTTTATACTTAAATGCTGATCGATCTTGGAAAGATTAAGAACTGAGGAATTTCTTCAATACGATGCACGATCTTCGAAACGTCTGACGTAAAACATTATGAGGAATTACTTCATTAAAATTGAGATTGCGTCAAAAACATGGCTAAAAACTTCAATCGATTGTAATATAGAAAGAGAGGCGATGAATAAAGATGATCTAGCATTATACTTGCAATTTTATTTTGGTTGCCAGTCACACTATCTATATTCTTACGAAATTCGACTATAATCCAATGACACGTGGTAGGAATATCTTCCGACGTGCGACGTACATGGTCGACGATTTTAAATCGCGTCCATTGAAAACGATAGACTGATTCACTTTCCGTTAAAAATGGTGTTTTACGAAAAAAAGAAAAGAAAAAAAAAGAAAAAAAGATATCTTTGTAACTCATTGTACGTGAGGATTAGTCGGGGACGAAAAAAAAAATCGTAGCAGATGATAGATCCGAAAGAGTTCAATTGGCAAGCGCTCACGCGCACGCTTTTTACCGACAATCGACAGTGAAATTCCTCGAAAGTGTTATCATATCGCGATGTTATTCCGCTTGTAATTCCGCATGCAGCCATTTTACAGTATCAGTCGCGTAGCGGAGGAAAACGAGGTGTGGCTCGAGTATGGTTAATCCATAGCCGACATAGCGCAGCGTCAACCTGCTAAGTCGCTTCCATTACAATTGCTCAACACGCCTAATACAATTTGACGGTTTTATTTAGACTTCAGACCGCGGCCCTCTTGCACAATACGACCAATATTACTCGTGAAAATTGTACAAGCCGCGAGTCATTGTCAAATTCTTACATAACGAAAATTCGTTCGAACCGCGAAATCGTCCGAGATCAATTTGTTTTCAGTTTTTAACGGGAAGTTGTAAAAAAAAACTGTAAAAAAAATAAAAATAAAAATTCCCAACTTGCGATATATTAGCAAAACTGTTGGACGCCTGGAGAAAACTTCGATTGACTTGCTCGATGCGAAACTGTAAAAACGTGAAATTCCTAACCTACAATTTTCGCAACGTGTCAACGTGCTAACGTTACTGGTTGATAAATTATCATACAAAAGGGCTGAGAGTTTGCAACTAATTTGGTCGTATTGATAATTTCACGTTAGCGAGAAACATGGCATAAAAATTCAATGAAAATCGATCAGTAAATCATAAACTGTTTCTTGTTCACGTAGCTGTCGCGGCTTATCCGTGGGTGCTCGGTTTTATAACCTCGTCAATGCCATCTACAGATTTTCCACTGGACGAAAGTTGCAACTGCTTTCCCAAGTTTCAAGAGATTCACTCGTATATATTAAACGGGGCAAATATGTGCAAGATACATCCGAACGAATATACAGCTAGATTACTCAGCACTTCCCCTTCGATATAGCTATGGAGTTAAGGAACCGAACTCCGTGCACAAACACGTTCGAAGAAAGTTTTTCGGCAATTTCGATTGGCCTCTACGTATTTGCTCGAGAATTTCGGGCGTTTCACAGAGAACGCATTCATAACCTCAAAATGACATCGAAATTTACAACGATGTTCAAGATACATCGTCTGCGGACGAACATCAGGAGTTATAGAAAACGTATTTGAAAATTCGATTTGTGGGACGTTCGTACTGATTCCTAAGATATTGTGTAACTAAATTAGTCAAGAGAGAAAGAGAGGGAGAGACAGAGAGAAGGCAGACGAAAGAAATAGAATGAGGATCGCTAGTTTTCAAAGAGTGCACGAAGGGCCAAAGGGAGGGGATTTAAGACCAGTGCGGATGTGAGTGCACGGAAGGAGGTATGAAAATCGCGGCAGAAGAGGGGAACAGAAGGGAGAATAAACGCGTAAGTGTGGATACGCGGTTGAATCGTATCGGCGTTGCCGTCGTGCGGGCACACGGTCACACGCATCCACATATTCACTCACTTACTCACTTATTCACTCACTTCGCACGCACTCACGCAAGCAAGCGAGCAAGTAAGCACGCAGTCAAAGAACACGGAGAAACGGAGCGGACATTAGAGACATGGCTCCTATCCTTGAGAAGTACGCACTTGAACGGGAATTGCGCTGTTTCCTTTGTCCCCGTGCGATATACATACCCTGGACGTCTAGCGTCGGACATCTTTTGATGAAAGAGGAACGCCAGGGAGCATGAATTCGAAAAAAGGGCATAAAAGCGAGAAGGAACAGGGGACGGACCGAGAACCAGACTGGTCGTCAAAGAGAGGAAGGGAAAAACAAGAAAAAAAAGCGTCGAACGTTGAATCGAATGGTGCGGTCAACACGGGACGTATTCGATAAAAATAGTCGACGTTGTGGAGCAAGTAGCGCGATTGCGACACTTACCAAGATCTGTTGTGGTGTAGCAGGGCGCAATATGTCAGCTGACTTGACGTGTGACCGATCGTAATCCTGCATCAGTATCCGACATAATTCTCAGCGGAGCATCAGGTCTCCTCGGTCGCCGAATTCAGTTGAATCTCGACTTGCTGTGCCGCGTAATCCGCACTTTCACAAAGCACAAAGATATTCCGTGTACGCGTATCCAGTAAACTAGTCCTTTGCACCAAACTCTCAATTACGGTGACAGACGACTGAGAACTGCGGGCACGGGAACAAGTACTGCCGATGACTGGTGTAAAGTTAGACCTCTTACCCTCCCCCTCTCTCCATGCCAAGTATTCGGAACCAGGATTGCTAAACTCGAGTCGTTTAGTTGAGTTGAGTTGAGTTTAGCTTGATTTCCGTAAGGAGGCGCTTGTTTCGCCATTGAAAACGCGCATCGAACATTGAAAATCGTAGCTTATATGGTCACGATCGTCAAGATTGTACGTTCGACTATTTAAATCAATTTTCATTAAAATTTATATAAAAATTGTAAATGATTTTGAGATACTTTTCAAATTTATTGTTTCTATAACACGATCAAAAAATTGTTGGACTGCGTTTGTACGCAAGCTGGGAAACGTCAAGTAAAACGAATCGCTTTTTTAAAGGAAATGACATAACGATACGGAATTTCGGGAATCAAGAAGCAACTACTCACTGGAAATTACTTTAAGCGATTGAATTTTAATTTCACGTTTGCAATAAAGCAAATTTTGCTATAAAACAAATTCATTATAAAGTGGATGTTATTTTCTGTTATATTTCATAAATTTCTGCAACAAGGTATTCGTACTTTTCGTTATATTAAATGTATACTTCGTGTTACATGTATACCTTGACTAATATTATTATTTCTTGTTTATTCTCGATAAGAAATAAAGGATTACGATCCCGTTTTTATGATATAAAGGAATTAACAAGGAGAAGTAATTCTTTTTTCTTAGTGTGAGGTTATGCTGTGCATACGGATTATTTGCGGCGAGTTTCCATTGACTACCGGTCATGTCATAAGTGTTAAATCTACAAATTATTATGTTTAAGTTTCATTTAAATAATTATTTGTAACACATTTAAACGAAAGTAGACAAGTAGGAAAAGAAGCTTTGGCATTTCAAATGATTCAATTAGAAAAATATATTCTTGTAAAAAGATGCTTCACGATTAACAACGCGAACTGCTTTCATTATATTACCGCGTTAGTGCGTCAAATAGCGTTTACAGTTTAAAACGGTCGGTTTATCTGTTCAAACGTTTGCGAGCTTTATTTACTTGAAATGCAAATTGATACAATAACTATAACAGACGCCTTCGTGTGAAAATAGGGAACGCGACGATCTATGCGGTATTAATATACAGTATTGGTACTGATTTGCAATGGAAGTAGAGAACGGACGCAAGATAGAAGATCCTTAAACAGAAAGTACTGACCGTGTAACCACGTTTATGATTATTTGTTAAATATTGCGCGAGATCGTAAAAGAAGATGAACACCCCGCAGTCGAACAAAAAGAAGGGCAGAAGCAGAATTGGCGTTAGTAATGATAACGCTAGCCCCGCGAACAATGAAACGCTTAGCACACAAGAAACATCTAAATTTGTTTTGGTATGAAAATTGTTTTAGTTTGCGAAAAAATAATTAAATAACGTTGCATGAACTTTTATAACTATAAGAGAGCTCTTTTATTTAATGATAACATATCTTGTTATTTAATAATATCTTTTTTTTATTGCATTGAAGTGTAACTTCATTTATGTTCACCATTGCTTTATATTTATTTTAGAATTGAATGTATAATTGAACTTGAATGAATATATAAATATAAATAAAGTCAATACGTTTTATATATTTGTTTCAAGGTAAATCCCATTGGTGAAGATGCAAATAAAACATTCAAAATTGGTATCAATGACTCCATACCAATTATATCCTTGGAAGGAAACAGTTTTGATGAGAAAGGCACAATTCAAAAGGGACATGCTGCACTGTCAGACAAAGATAAAGAAGAGAAGGTTATTCTGAATAGTTTGCCGGTAGCCATGGTAAAAGAGATTGGCGAATACGAGCAACAGTTAGGTGAAGCAGAACCACTTCCAAACTCTTACATTAGATTTATGGAACGCAGCGGCGAAGAACTCGATGGTAATTCGTTTTAAACACAATTATGTGCACAAATAAAAAATCCAATTTTTCTAGTAAAATAAAAGATTTATTTCTAAGTAAGGTTCAAGAAGTTTTTTAATAAAAGTATTTGTCACTGTTTTTCGTGGCTTTCTGGCGATTGATGAATCTCATCTCAAAAAAGAGTTTTGTAATTGTCAAACCATTTTTTAATTTCTTCCACTGATTTTACGATGCGTTACACAGAACATTGGAATGATGTATAATAATTTTCCATAAGAAAGATTTCTCAATCGCTGACTTTTTTTGTCTTCCATAAACTTGTGCAGAACCCATTTCCTTCCTTTTGAGATTATTAGGTTATATTCTAACCAACTGTTGTGTAAGGTTTTTTTATATTTGAATTATATAATTTTATATTTTTATGATGGATTTTCGCTGAGGAGTTGCTTCAAATTGTCAAGTTTTTAACCAGATTAAAAAAAAGATTGGATTATTTATTTGTACACTCATTATACATATTTTCTAAATGACAATTCACTTGTATGTGTATCATTTTTGTAGGAGAAGTAGAGTACGATTTAGATGAAGAAGATACTGCTTGGTTGAGTATAGTAAACGAAAGACGATTAGCTTCAGGACTCAGCCCACCTTTGGAGCCTGATACGTTTGAACTCTTGATGGACAGATTAGAGAAACAGTCTTACTTTCAGCAACAAAGTAACGGCAGTGGAGGAGTTGCAGCTGATGAAGATGCAGTATGTTGCATATGTATGGATGGAGAATGTCAGAACAGTAATGCTATATTATTTTGCGACATGTGCAATCTAGCTGTTCATCAGGATTGTTATGGTGTACCATATATTCCTGAAGGACAGTGGTTGTGCAGGAGATGTTTGCAGAGTCCTTCGCGGGCAGTTGACTGTGTTTTGTGCCCAAATAGAGGTGGTGCTTTTAAACAGACTGATCGCCCAGCCACGTGGGCTCATGTTGTATGTGCTTTATGGATACCAGAAGTGAGATTCGCTAATACAGTGTTCTTGGAACCTATTGATAGTATAGAGAGCATACCTGCTGCACGTTGGAGACTTACATGCTGCGTGTGTAAACGAAGGGGCTCAGGTGCTTGTATCCAATGTCACAAGAGTAATTGTTACGCTGCATTTCATGTGACATGTGCACAGCAGGCTGGTCTATGTATGCGTATGAGGACAGTACAACCTGCAAACGGGGAGCCGATGTTAGTTCAAAAAACAGCTTACTGCGAAGCCCATACACCTTCTGATTATCAACCTTCCACGAATCCTGCTGACGCTAGGAGGCGAGCAATTGCAAATAAAAAAAGTTCTTCTGCTCCTGTTATTTCTATTCCGACCATACCACCGGAACGTATCAAGGAGATTGCTAGGTAAAATATACTAAATTATTTTGAGACGCATAGTTTTGTAGTGTGTATAAAGAATTTTATTGTTGAATTGATATTGATTAGCTTAGCTGAAGGATTGCCTAAACGAAGTCAACTGATACAACGCCTCATAGCATACTGGACTTTGAAACGGCAGTACAGAAATGGAGTTCCTCTTCTTAGGAGGCTTCAGAGTTCACATCCACAATCTAGACCACCGCCACTTGGTGAAAATTCTTCACCGCCGCCAGATAGCGAATTGCGTGGCGAATTGTACCGTCAATTAACGTACTGGAAATGTCTGCGTCAGGATCTGGAGCGAGCTCGATTACTTTGTGAGTTAGTACGGAAACGTGAGAAATTGAAGAAAGAACTGTTCAAAGTGTAAGATTCCAAACGAATTTCATAAAAATAAATACAATCCAATTGTCGAGAAATATATTCAAATATTTAATTTCATTTTATAGAAAAGAAAAATGCTTGTTGTTTGAATTACGTCCACTAGAGAATATTCTCCGCTCTTTGCTAGAAGCAATCAAAATGAAAGACGTAAACGATGTGTTCGGACAGCCCGTAAATACGAAAGAAGTCCCAGATTATTTGGAAATTGTATCTCATCCTATGGATCTTTCTACAATGCAGGTAATTTATTTCACTTTTAATTATTTAAGCGAAAAACTATGTATCACACAGATTATACGATCTTTATTTCTTTAGGCCAAGATAGAAAGACAGGAGTACGATACCATTGGAGCTTTTGAAGCAGATTTCAATTTAATGGTAAATAACTGTCTGGCCTACAACCGCAAAGACACTATGTTCTATCGAGCTGGAATAAAGATGAAGGAACAAGGCGGTATTCTTATAGAACAAGCTCGCAAGGATTATCCTGAACTGGATCCTGTCAGTGAAAGCGAGCAAACAGCGTCGAAGTCTCGCAAAAGGGACCGTACTAATAGAAATCGTGCGGAAACGGAGCTACAATCCGGAGAGAAAGAAATCGGCGGTGGAGGAGTGAACAGAAGAACTGCGGTTCTTTTCACTCGCAAGGCAAGAGCGAGAGCCAGTAGAAGTAATCAGATGTTCGTCTTGGAAGACGATAAGAAGAAACAGAGCGACAGTTTCAAAGTCTACAGGTACACGTTACTCGTTTCTAACACCGCTGTTTTTCGAATCTGTATAACTATAGAAATTGATAGATACTATTAAAATATAGCGTAAAGACGTGAAGGAAAACAACGGGGGATTAATTATTATATGCATCTATCTCGGTATAAAATCTTGAGTGCAACGTTAATACACAATGTGCTATTAATGTTTATATTAGGAGTGGAACAATGGACAGCGACGTGGGAGAAGGTGAAAGTCAATCATCGAGTTGCAGCAGCTGTTCAACGAGTAGGGCCACTACTCCTGATTTAGAAGAAGAAAAACAGAGGCAGCAAGAAGCGAACGAAGCGAAGAAAGAGCAAGAAAGCAGGCAGGGAGCGGCGAGCAATGGTCTGGAAGCTCTCCAACTCGTATGGGCCAAGTGCCGCGGATATCCTTGGTATCCGGCTCTTATAATAGATCCTAATACACCCAGAGGTACTGTGCACAAGGGTGTACCAATCCCAGCACCGCCTGATGATGTATTGGCGCTCGCTGTCAATTACAAAGAACCAGTATTTCTCGTTCTTTTCTTCGATACCAAAAGAACATGGTAATTTTATTTCTTTTTTTAAAATGCAATTCTAATCTTTGTTTTCCCACTGAGATTTAGTTATTTCATGTATGGTAATTGTATGCAATTATTGCCAGGCAATGGTTACCAGGGGAGAAGTTGGAGAAGCTTGGGGTATCTGAGGAATTGGACGAAGCAAAATTAATCGAGTCTCGAAAGCCCGCCGACAGAAAGGCGGTGAAGAAAGCATATCAAGAGGCGCTCCATTATCGCAAACAGACACACAACACGACGTTGAATGCCGGTTCAGCTAGCTAATCTCGTGGATTCTGATATTAATTCTAATTATAAGATAATTCTCCTTAAGAATCTGTAAGTATGTAAAAAAAGTTTTAACGAGTACGAGACGTGTAACTTATAGACTTATCTCTAAGCCGCGACTTTCTCAGATTCTATTTATATTTTTAAATAATGACCGAAATGAAATAAAAGGTATCATTGACCGTGTCAAATTTTTTGCCTGATTGATTGCGTATCTATCTAAATGCGTATATATGTATTTTTCATAATCTTTCTTTCGACGTATACATGATCAGCAAAGAACAGGAGACATATAAAAAAGTGAAAAAAGCATTTGCGATCTCCAGCGTTTCGTTGTTCAGCTTATTGCTTTTTGCTGTCTTTCTCTTGTTGCTTCGTGTGTTTCTGTTGCGGTATCAAGTTTTTTTGCACGTATTCGTTCAGCTCTTTGGCGTACAAATCCAGCCTCTGAGTCATCTGAAAAAAAAAAAAAAAAAAAAAAAGAAATGTAGGAAAGTTGAAAAGAAAGATTTGAAAGAAAGCAAAAGATCGCGAACGTTCAAGGTTTCGACTTACTCTCAGACACCAGAAGTCCTTCATCTGACGACACAGGTTCAGATCCAGCTCGCAAATGAGAAGGCCGTCTTTACAGCGACTCAAGCCCGGTGTTCTGGTACCATCAGGAGCAGTGATGTAGCTAGATCCATAGAAATGGCCGAAGTCGTGATGCGCAGGTGCCCCATCTCCAGACGTGAATTCGTTGGGGAATTGCTCAGTTCCAACGCGATTAATGGCACAAGTGTAATAACTGTTTGCTATGGCTGCATTTCTCGCTTCAATGGACCACAATGGTTCAGATGTATGGCTGGTTGTTGCTGATGGATTGAACACAATCTAAACACAGAGATTATTTGTTACATTTCGTAATAACTTTTGTGAGTGTTTTAGGATGTATATATAGGTAAATTTCACCTCAGCACCATTCAACCCGAACATCATCCAGTTTTGGGGATGATGTCGACCATAGCAGATGTTAATGGCTACACGTCCAAAGCTCGTTTCGAAGACAGGGTGCCCTGTATTTCCCTCCATGTAGTAGGTGGACTCGTTGAAATCGCCTACACGAGGAATGTGGTTCTTCCTGTGTTTTCCAATTATTGTTCCATCTTTTTCAATCACCACGGAGGTATTCCACAGTGTGTCACCATTCGCGGAGTCCCTCTCAAGGATCGGACAGATAATGACCATTCCGTGTCGTTGAGCAAGTTCACTCATAAGTATTACAGTTGGCCCGTTCTCAGCATCCTCGGCGAATTCGCACCAGGGATATTTCTCTCTGGTGCAGAACACGAACGGCATGGCTACGACATAAATTAACATATTCCTATTATTTCCAGATAAACAAGCAAAACAAAACATGAAACGAACTGAGTTTTTTTAGTTATTGGAAAGTGGGGAAAACTCGAAGAAAATTGTTAAAAAAGGAATTCTTCTCTGTTCTTATCTAATCTTCCGACTGATTTGATAGTTTGTACGTAATTCTGTTTGGAAGTGCGTGCAATATTATCATTGAACAAGCAAATATTTCAATAACTGTACAGTACGTGATAATATTGTCAAATCATGGAATTCTATGCCTTTAATGCTTTAAAGCAAACATAATCTTCTGATATGTGCGACATTCACAAATTTTTAACTTCTGTTTAAGCACTCTGTTGAGATTCTCAGACGTACCCCAAGCTTCTTGGAGGCAGAGCATGTTGACCCCGCAAGTCGCGGCATAGTCGACGTATTTTTGAATCTTCAGATGCAGAGCGTTCCTTTGTTTCTTCAGCGGTTCTGTCGTCGGCAGCACTATGGAATGTTGAATTAAACCGACTCGAACGATACGCGGAGGACGTAACTCCTCTACGACACTGCCACCCATAACGTACCCGTGCACGTCTAAATCCTGGCTTCCGTTCCATTTAGGTAGAAACAGAAAGCTGCAATAAATTTTGAAAGAAATCACTCGTCAGAAATGTAAAATCATAGCAACGTAACGAAAAGGTGATCTTAGATTAATAAAAAGATTATAATTATAATTTGTTTGAAAAGAACGACTGTCGTACGTAGTTTGGTATTAAAATATTTCAAAAGTTTTCAGCCTCTCAAGATCACTTTACAACAACATGGCGAAAAGTTATTTTCGTCCCTCGTATTGGATACAGCGCTATTTTCCATCGAATTGCCCGACCATCGCAATGGAATTCATCTCGGTTCGTGAGAACATTCTTCCTTCTCTAGATCTAAAAAAAAATATTTCGCGCCAAATTGCCCGGCGATACATTGACATCGGAGAGTGTAAACGTGCTGGAAACGTTCATTTTCCCGAAAGTAGCGGAGAGGACAACGAGCGCTATTTTTGCATAGAACAAACAGAGGAGAAGTCAAGATTAAATGAACAGTGACAAATCTTACTCTAACTCGCGGCCATACAAAAGGCGTTTGATCTCGATCAACTCTTCCTGCGGCAGATTCTTTTCCAGAATGTCGTCGAGAGTTTGCTCAAAATTTGGTTTGCTCATTTTGTAAGAGATTCTTGAACGTCGTCGATTCACACTACTCAGTCCACTGACTACGAACGATTGCTAGCATACGCGGTATTTACCCACGATATATATCGTCATAAGCGTGTATCAGCGCTTTTTAATCCTTATCACTGCTAATTATATCGTTATAGTCATAAATTTTTTTAAGACTCCCTATCGTACCTGGTCGAGAGAGAGAGAGACAGATAACTCTCTTGTTTTTTTGTTAATTTTGTGGTGCTACTCTATCGAGCAACTTTGCCACTGTAATTATTTAATCGACATTGTGCAATTAATCATTTTCATTTTGTCGATACGTATTTATTTACTTGTAGAGTGTAATTAAATATATTTGTATATTATATGTATACATTTACTTGTAGAGTGTAATTAAATATATTTGTTATATTATACGTATACATATTTATTTATTTACGGATTATAATTAAATGTAAAATACTATTTATTTATACGTATATTCTATTTATAAATGTTATAAATATTACGCTTTAGTTTCTATCCTACGATGTTTATTTGGAAGTTAAGTTCTTCTTATGAATCCAAAAATTCGGGTTATCTTGTTTTCCTTAATAAACTTTAATCGTTTCTGTTAACATTTCAATTTTAAAATCGAAGTGCTAACGTAGCTTTGATTTATCTCGAGTAAAAGATATAATTTTTGTGTAGATTCCATAATTTCATGCTCGCCTGATCTACAACAGTATCTTAAATAACTTTATAAATAACTTTATAAATAACTCAATATCTTAATAAGTTCCTAAAATATTTTTAAGATATTTTTAAGGAATAATTTTATTGTTAATTTATTTTCTCTTCTACTTCAGTATTTGTAAAATAAGATGGAAACGTTCGAACGAGCCACGAAAATTTTCCATTAAAGTTAACAAAATGTAGTATTTTTTCAAGTTATCTTGCATGTTAAATGTTATTGATAGGGTGCAATTAGGTTATCCGAGTGTTTGCACTTTTGTTACGTATAACGCTATTATCCAAAAGAATGTCTCGGCTATTATCAAAATAAACATGTTTAAAATAAACACATTTTTGTTTGAATAGGACAAACATGATAAAATTTATTGAGTTGAAAATTATACTTTTGTCATATTAATTACACTGTTTATTATATTATAGTTCTCCGGTGTATAATTTATATTGTTATATGAAAATATAATTTATGACATGAAAATGTATTTTTTATTATGTGAAATTATATTTTTATTTTTATTGTTATTTTTATTATACGAACTAATGGTAACAAATTGATTTTCGCTTTTTAAATTCAAACCCAATTATCGATTGCACGCAATTATCGAATCGAATAGGAAATAGTATCGATAACTATCGAAGGTAATGTTTACAAATTGTTATAACACACTAATGTAAACAAGCGTAGGATGTAAAAGGTTGAAAAAAAAACTTACTAACTCACTGTACTAACATTATATAGTATATAAAATTTTAAAGACTAATAATTCATAAAAATTGACGAATATGCGATCATTTCATCTTATCTTTAGGTTTTTAGGTTAAGTTAACCTATAAACTTGACAGCGAAGGCAATTGAAAAATTTGGAGATTAATTGAGGGAAAGTCAACCAAAGCTGTGAAAATGGCACTGACCAGAGAACGGCGTTCAAACGCCGGCAATAAAATGGCAAAATTACTGAATGAAGAAGAGGAAGATGATTTTTATAAAACTACTTATGGAGGTTTTGATGAAGTGGAGCAGGATCACGACTACATGTTGATATCAGTTCTTTTATCACTTTGCTATAATATTATTGCATGATATTAGATGATTTTTAATTGTTAATCTAGGGAAGAAGATGAAGCAGAAGATGAAGTAGATTCAGACTTTAGTATAGATGAAAATGATGAGCCTATTTCTGATACCGAACAAGAGGGACCTAAGAAGAAACGTAGACTAGTTACAAAAGCTTATAAGGAGCCCAAAGTTCAATCTAATCAATTGCCATTCAAAGAGAAGAAAGTGAGGCAGCCTAGGCAAAGAACTTTTATCGAGAGCTCAGGTGAATGTCTCAGATGTGAAACAACTGTGGAATTACACGGAGAAACATCAAATTTTAATGTATTGTAGGAAGGAAATCTATACGTCGGTCCACTGCTGCAAAATCTGCGGCAACACAAAGGAGACTTACCGAGAGAAACGAGCATCAAAAGAGAAAAACTAGAATTATAAGGCACGACACATGGAAGCCTACTCAGGAAGAATTATTGGAAGAAGCGTTGCAAACTGAACAAATAAATATGAAGTCGCTAGGTTTGATATCAATATGAAATCATTAGATTGCTTATATTATTTAGTTTTTCCATTATTTCTGTTAATTCGCCTCTGTTAACAGAAAAATATCAGAAACTAGAAAATGAAAAGAAAAATACAAGGACAGTAAGAAAAGCACAAACTGGTCCTATGATTAGGTATCAGTCCTTAGCAATGCCTGTTATGATATTTTCTGAAGTGAATTATGATAAAGAAGAAGATAAAATTAACGTCGAAGGAGACGACGAGAAAAGTGCAAACGTAGAAAATAAATGTCCAGACGGTACAACGGACGAAAGGTGAGCTATAATTCGTCTTTCGATTTAATTAAAAATATCAAGCTTTCACTCGTTTCAGTGTTGTGACCATAAAAACAGAGAATGATACGACGAACGTTCCCAAAAGGGAATCTTCTCAAAGTTCCAACAAAGGCTATTACTATGAACAAACGAAAGGATATTACGAAAGGACCTTCATCACCTTTGAGAACGAACAATTGTTTTCCAAAGCTTTCAAGAAACCTTCAACTTCAAGACCACCAATGGAACCGTTATGTGCAATTACTAGGTAAAATATCAAAAATATATATTTACAGGAAATAGAAATAAATTTAAACACGAAAGGATATTTAGACTTCCAGCAAAATATCTGGATCCCATGACTCAGCTACCATATAAAAATGTGCAAACGTTCCGCCTGTTGCGTGAAGCATATTATCAGCAATTGGAAGCTCGAACAGATATCAATTATACGTCACAAAGCTCAGACTTACTACGATGGCTCGAGTGGAGACAAAAAAATCATGGTGGTCTAGCTCAGAGAAACACGGTTCGCCTTGAACCAGCTTCCGCAAGTATGCCTATGTAGTTTCTATGCTCGGTGACAAAATCGAACGAAAGTGTCTTCGTTATCATGATAGCAAATTATTTTCAACCTCTACTATTTTTTAAATTCAAGAATTCTTAAAGAAAGAAATCTTGAATTGAAGAAAAAAAATAGTAGAAGTTGAAAATAATAATTGTAAGATAAATATTTAATGACTAGAAGCATTCACAAACAACAGCAAAAGAAAAAAAATTATGTTTTAAGGAAAAGAGGTTGTAAATAATCTTATAATTTATTGTTAAACGTAGTATAGAATCATTGCATATTTTCTGCATTGTATCAAGTGGATGGTTCTGAGATTTTTTGTACAGTCTTAAAGTTATGATAAAAATAACGATGTATAATGTATTTATACAAAGGTTGGAAAATAATTCGATTAATATAAATATTTTTTGGTGAAATGAAACGAAAAATATTGTACAATATACGTATACATAGCGTGTTCAAAGCAAAAGTGATTTTTATTAATAAAATTATAAAGTACAAAGCATTGATTAATAAAATGTCACCGATTCGGTGACTGTTTTTCATATGTACATATATACATATATATATATTTGAATATGTATATATATGTATATATTTAATCAACAGAGAATAAACTGATCTCAGTAACGTCTAAAAATTTATCATCTTAAATATCCCATTCGTACAAATTCAGTTTTCGCATGAGTGGAACTTAGAAGTTTCCTCGAGGGTTCTCTATCTAAAATAGAAACTAAAAAAGCGTGTATGTACACATACTCGAAATGAAAAGCATCGTTCTCTCATCGTCCTGTTCTCATTCGTCGCATTTACCTGATGCTCAGAGTTCCCAACTATCGTACAGTTTCATATTTCAGAAGCTGAATATATTCAGCCAGTAGAATTTCAACTTCTCGCGTATGATCTTGCTATGAACTTTGTTAAATTTGTTTTTCACTCATCTGTCGATTGCTCGTCGAACTATATCAGTTCGAAAAGTAAAAATTACTGTTCGTTTGGAGGAAAGAAGTATCTCAAATGAAATTTATACCCTTGCCGGAAACACTATTGTATAATTATATTCTCTATGTCCTGTTGCAATTCACAAAGCAAATTGCGCTCTCAGAAAAGCGTAAATTATATCTCGAAGACATTTATTGGCAATATATTTTTTTAAATTAAAGAAAAGAAAAATAATGTTACAGTTCCCCACGAAATGATGTTCGTTTTATCGTTCGTCGATACGATTTATATTGCACGGACCATCCGATGCCCTCGCACAACGGAACGAGGTGTAGACATTTCAATATTTCAACGTTTTACTCACTCTCTATTTATTCATCAAGATACAACGAGGACTTGTAACGATAACAGATTACATTTGCGGCTACACACATCGAAGCGATAATTATTAGACGCCTAGAAAGTACGATACAATCTCGCAGATAGTGTACTTTCGTGTATCATCACGCTTGGTGATGTACGCGCCAGAATTTGAATTCGTTAGTTTTCGCGCCAGAATTTGAATCCGCCAGTTTTTGCGCCAATATTTGAATTCGTTGGTTCCCCGCGCCAAAAGTTCGCATTCCTCCCTTCGTTCTTTCGGTTCTTTCTCTTGCTTCTCACGGCCTTTTCCCCATTTTCAAAGAAAAATAAACAAAAGTATGCTTCAAACTGCGTTGAACTGTGAATATCCCAACACTGTTTGAAAAAGTGAGCAAGCTCTTTTATCGTACTTCACAGAGTCGACACTACGGTGCAAATTCGAAAGCAGAGAGTGAGCAACAGTAAAAGTGTTTCAAGTCTCTGATTTAGCTCTTTTTTTTCTTTTTTTTTGTTTTGTTTTCTTTTTTCCATTTTTTTCGTTTTCCTCTCGTCAAGCCTCTTGTTGTTTCGCTTGTTTCCTTCTATGATCGTGCAACTGCATGCTCAAACCGCAACTGAGACTTCTTCGCCTGTGTTATTAATTAATTATAGACTGTCTCTGAAACATTCGGCCAAGTTTTGGAACAACAATACATCATCAGCCGCAAGAACGAAAAACAAAGGGATATTTGAGAAAAAAAAAAAAAACGCCTCGTTATGCTTAACGCATAATTATTGCTTGCGTCACCCGGTCGAAGTACTTTGGATACAAGATGTTAGACGATTCGTGCCCAAATGATGATTTGATTTGATACACAGTTTCAATTTGCAGTCGTACAAACTCTAACTTATTGTTAGCTCGCACGTGGAAGAATATGTATTGCGATTAATTACAGACATTCGTTTGCACTTCTTCTTTTTTTTTTT